ACTTGTTCTCTGTGCTATGTTCCTTTCCTGATACGCAGTCTTGTTTGATGTTCAGTCACTGAGCAAAATCAGTTCTCTCTAAGATACTTTCTTTTTAATTTCTTTCTTAGTTTGCAAATGTCCTATGAAGAAATTCTTCAGTTATTCTGTTATTGTCAAGTAATTTAGAAATCTGTCTTTTCATGGTGTCCTGGGAGCATTAAAGACTCTCTGTAAATAATCAGTTAATCATTCTTTCCTGTACTTACAAGTTCATGTAAAAGAACCAAGAGGAAATAACATCTGCTGAAAATCTTTCCACAGCAAAATGTTTGCATGTATAAATACATGCAGAGAGGAACATACTGTGTATAAATACAATTAGATTCTTTTCCTGCAAGATCTAATTACTGGGGATTCATGTTCTATATAGCCAAATACTTAAACAATGTTCTGGAGAGCTGACTCACCATGCTTATGCCTGTAATTTGCTGCTGGGTAGTTTGTCACATACTTAATCTGTAACTAATTTTTTCAAGGCTACCATTGTGCGTCATGTACTACTGTCAGATAGCAAAAACTTCCCTCATATTTGATCTCGTGCTCATCTGTCAGTGGTGGCCACATGCATCAGCTGCCTCTCTTTAGTTTCCCTGGTCGTACATAGCTTGGTAGCATGTAATCTTTTCCTTCCTTGACATTGTTCCCCACCCCTTAAAAATTTTCAGTACTCTTTCTTAATTATTTCTTCAGTAGTGAAATAATAAAAAAATGCAGTTCTGCCTATCCTCTTGAATTTTCTTACTTTGCTGTAGCATTATAGTGCCATTAGACTCTCATGACTTTGAATTGCACTGACTCTGGTGCAGTGTCTAGAAAGGCTTAATTTCTCTACAGTTTTGAGGGAAAGTTCCATTTAGACTTAATTCTGTTACAGATTTTAGGTTCAGATAGGACTATTCAAGAGACTGATCTAAGGTTTGGATTCAGCATGACTAAAGCCTTAGTTTCCCACTTGCAAATAGGGTTAGGAAGTGTATTTCTTTTCTGCAAAATAATTTTGAAGATTGTAAAGCTGAAATAAGAATGTATGAGACTCAAATGGGTACCCAGAACTGCACTTGTAATGGTCTACTAGTGATATTGGGGGTGAAAAAACCCCCACCACAAACTGACCTCTAGATCTGTAAGGTCAAGGAGGAGGGATGTACTTTAGGATATATAGATTCCATCCCATGTAGTCTGTACAAACTTAGGCTGTCAGAAAGAAATTTGATAACTACATCTAGTAGGACTGAGATGGCTCACCTATGTTTATTTTAGCATCTATCTAGAGGACATACTAAAATTGTTGGCAGCTATTCAGCTTCCAATTGATGGAGATCTAGGATAGACAAATTTATGCTCTCATAAGGAGATTTCTTTAAATTGCAGGATTAGAACAGTAAAACAAGCTCTTGTCTTCATATCCTTGAAATGTATTGTCGTTCCTAAATACAGTGAGACTGAATGGATGTTGGGTTGTTGATACATCCTTTAGAAGCTGAAGTTTCAGATAGGCATAGTGAGGTATCATAAGATGCATAAAGGTTTAGATTTGTTTCTCATACATCAAAAACACTAAGCAAAATTTTACCACTTTATTCCTTTCCCAAGGCTTCCAGTAGCGGTCCTCTTCTTTTTTTTCACCATACCTTTTTCTGTCTCCTCTCATTCCAGGCCTGGGTCTTGTGCTTTTTGTGTGTAGATAGCTAACATTTTGTATATTTAAAGCAAAAGCAAAAAAATCCTGTCTAAAAATCCCATGCCTGAGATCAAAATTAAGTGCATGCCCACCTAATGTATTTTGAATTTCTTACAATTTAGATGAATTCAGGTTATAAAAGCATCCTACAAGGTAGTTTAGATTACTGGTTTTTAAGAGCATGATACTGTCTATTTATAAATACTGTCTGGATGATTTTAAGTGCTGACAGAATGCAGGCTTTTGATAAATAATAGTTTATAGGGTGGAAATGCCAGTGAATGCCAATTTTGTGTTGCTTTTTTTTTTTTTTTTTTTCATTATCTCTTTGTTTTCATTTCTGGGTTTCATCCAAGACATCACCATGTTAAAGTTTACCAGAAGGCCGTTACTGAAGGGATTGGTATTCTGGGGGTTGTTTCAAGTCTTCATATTTCCTCCCTGCCCTCCTTCATAGTTGCCTATCAAAAATTCCCTTTTCTTCTTAGCAGGTATTCAAGGACATTTCTATCAGGCTTTTTTCTACCTGATTTTTCAGAAAAGCGATAGAAAATGATGACTGTATCAATAGACTTTCTTTTTTGGCACAGCCTGCTCACCTTCTTTGCCTCTTTTGACCCTGTCCTTAAACTGGAAAACTTGTAACTATAGACATGAACGGTTTGTTTTATTGCACAGTGAACTGTCCTTCCAGTAAGTGGGTAGAAAGGAATCACAAGATACAGAAAGTGAGAACACAGGGAGAGATCCACCTTGAATATCACTATTACACAAGCTTGGAAGTGTTTTCAGACAATAGGTGATGGTAAAGCTGCCTTTTGAACTATGACTTACAAAGATACACTTAGATCTCATGATACAGAAAAAAAGAAGCATGTATGTATGTTTGCATTTAATGCCATTTTACACATCTGCATATATCAACCAAGATGTGTTCACACACGCAAATATTAAATAGTTAATGCTGCATTTGCCATGAACCATCTACAGTGTTCTAATGCAGTGGAGGTTCTTTTTTTTTTCTCCTTTCTGTCTGGCTGCATCTTCCATTCCCTGAAATGGGGTTGCCAGTGGAACTGTTCGTAATGCTTAATAACACACACTATCAGTGATGCACTCTTCAGAACACTAGAATTGATTATTCTTCTCTAAAAGTGTGACCTGGCAGTGTAGCCTTTGTCCTAATGCCTGGTAACACGTGATGTTCCTGACAGCACGGGATGTGAGCGCAGATGTTCTGCAGGCATCAGAAAAAAGCAGCCTCAGTGCAGTGTCTTAATGCTGTTGGAAGGCATTTCATTTGCTACAGGTCAGTGTCTGTTTTGAAGAATAAGATGGTTTGTTCCTTTTTGAAATAGGTTCTCAAAATTAGGTTTGTGTTGTCTGAAGGCTAGATAGATATTGGGCTAGATAGATATGCATGAGATATGAGCATTTTGTTAAACTCATGGATGCTTCATACTTTTGAAATTCAGAGTATTGAGGTAAGAACTTTAGGCAGCCACTTTAGTGATAATGGTTAATATGGTTAAAGCTGTTAAAAATGCCACGGTGGATCTCAGCATCTGTCTGTTCTAGAGCACCTTTGCTCTAGTGCTTATCCTGAGGTTTTAAGGAAAATGCTGTTCTATTCACTGCCATATTATACCTTCAACACAGGAAATTATACTCTCTATCCTGCATCACACAGAGCTTCTGTCTGAAATCATCATCCTACCAAGATGAGAGAATTATTTTCATGGACTTTATTTAGTTCTTCAAGGTTGGAGAGGCAGCTTGTTTATTTGTAGCAAGTTGTTACTAGTTTTACTGTAAATAAATCAGAATTTACAGGGTTGGTGCAGAAACTGCTAGATAAGGGTCTGTGTGATGTAGGTGAGTCAGGAATTCCTTGTGGTCTTGAACTATGTGAATTTAATGTTTCTGCAGTGTTGGACTGCGTGCTGTTAGGTAGTTGCACAGCCAGTGCTGTTCCTGAGGGTGTGCAACAGTCTTTTCCACTTGTGCTTTGTACTGCAGCAGCAGTGAGAGTGAGTATGGAAAGTACAGTGAAGCATGCTAAATGTATAATCCAGTTGTCTTTTAATGCAAGTTGACAGCTGCTGGCAGAGTGGGTTGAAATGGTGCTCTTGGAGACTTCTGCTACAGATCACACTGAAAAAATCCCAATCCCCACAGCTCCTTCTTACAGGATTTATTTAGCTCTGTTTGGTGTGGGAAGCACCAAATTCTTTTACTCATCTAGTTCTCTATAGTGATTGCTAATTCTCCACTGTGTTCCTTGCTTTTAAGCTAAGTATTTCAGAACAGCAACAGTATACAGTCTGATGTTATTTACTGTATCATACATGATAATACTAGCATTTTTATTGGTGCAAATGTGCTTTTATTATGGCTAACATAGTAGTATATGCTAGCACTAAGTCTTAACCAAGAGCTGAAGTATATTTGCAATCTCATGTTTTAACTTGCTATCTTGAAGAGAAAAACCAAAGTTAACTTGTGGTAAGAACACACCCCACCCCGTATTTCCATTTTCTGTCTTTAGAGGTGATTTACAGGTGTAAGGAAGCAGTTTCTTTCTGGCCATCATCAGAAGCCACAGAATCGCAGTATGAAGCTGTAAGGCATCCCTGGGGACTCTGGGAACCTCAGAGTGGGTATCCCAGGACCATGTCCATCTCAGAGGATGGAGGAGCCAAAGAATATGTATTGTCTTCTTTATAGTTTAACTCTGATGTTTTAAATGTATAACAATTTACTAATCCAGCAGGCATATTTAGGCTTGTTAACGTGCTGCTCTACCTGTTGTGTACACTGCTGGACATACCTGTGAGTTGTCCAGGCTTCTGAAACTTTGAAGCATTGTTTCATACCAGCAGTGTTGTTTATTAGGGGACATGGAATAAGCTGGGACTCAGTCTTACCTGTTTCTGGACCAGTTGTGTGTCCTTATGAAATCTGAGTATGTTTTCTATGTTGATCCTCTTAAGTGCATTTATTTTCTGCTTAGTTTTCAGTGTTTCTGGTGCATGGGTGGGTGTGCTTTAGGAATGAGGCAGGCAACAGTGAAATCCGGTTCACCTCATGGAGATTCTCTAGTGTAGTGTGTGGGAAGTAACATAGTTGCCTTGGAGGCTAGTTTAGTCTTGTTTAAGTCTAGAAGTATTGCTGAATGTGAGTCTGATTCTTAGAAAAGATGCTTTTTGTGAGTGAGCAATTCTCTTTTCAGTAACTCCTTGACACAAAGACAACTGAGGCTTTTGGTGTCTGACAGGGATTGATGGCCCAGCTGCTTTTCAAGATGATGTTCAGAAGACAGGAGGTCAGGTACAGATTCTTACTATTGGACAGTCTAGCCATGATGAAGATGATGGAGAGAAAACAGCTAGTGGCCAACAACAGCAAAGCAAACAAGATCTTAGAACAGCAATGCAGAAAAAAGGTAAGTAGTCAGACATGCCTTCGTGGTCTCTTTGCTTGCTTGATGTACGTTGACTCCTTTTCCTCTTCTCATTCTTGTCCCTAACCTAAGCAGAGATTGTTATGCTGTGTTTCTTCTCCTAGGAGCTTGTTAGTCTCTATTCTATTATCTAAAAATAAAAATGTTCTCACTTGTGCCAAGGAACAAGAGCTCTCCAGGCTTTCCCATCTGCAGTGCAGTGCTGTTGTTAAGGTACCAGGCAGATGCTAACGCTCATATCCACCTGTTCACATTTTTATGTTGTACAACTCTGGAAATCACTTACTTGAGGGCTAAGCAGGATAGCAGCAGAATAGCAACATTCAAACTAGAGTATTAATTTTAGTTGTGTTGCCAGTTAAACATTGTTCGTGTTTCCATTACGTGTGTTTGTGCTTCCGAGGTGAAGATTACAGCACCGTGTATTCTGCAGCATTTCCCATGTACAGTCCCAAATGTTGTGGAATTTTTGTTTTGTTTTGTGGCTTTTGTTTTTCTAGAGGCACACATGATTTAGGAGATAGATTGTGTATGTACGCATTCATGCATCTGTCCCTTCCTTCCTGTGCTGTTATTAGCTCTCATTAGACATTAACTGTAGGAAGGAAAAAAATTCCTAAAATCCTCACAAAGCTTTTTCTGAAGGCTTTTGCTTTGGAGTTGTTCTTCAGTGTGCAGCTTTTGAAGCAAAGATGGCTCAAGCCAAGAGTGCTCTGAGGCTTTAAGAATAAACTCTTTGTGTATAAAGAGCAAAATGTAAGTACAAACTTGACTTATCTAGAATAGACTATTCATACCTAAATGTCCGCTTCTTGTCTGCAGAGCAGTTCTCACTAAGATCCATTTTTTTTCTGGGACATTACTCTGCAGATGCGAGCAACTTCAACTGAAATGGGCAGCTTTTCTCCAAGTGCGGTATTTCCTGGGCATTTGAGTCTGAGGGATGTTGGGCATGACTAACAAGTTCTGATCTGTGTGGTGATTGTGTTGCCTTAAACCGTGGCTCAGAATGTTTAATCGTCAGGCCCACTACTAAAGCTGATTGATTTAAAAACTGCGAACAGACTTCTCGAATTAGGTCAGAGCACTCAGATTTTTACTCCAGGGGACATTTCTATTTTGGATGGTTTTTTTTCCCAGGGTATATTTTTATTCTCCCTAGTTTTTGTTGATTTTCTAGTAGAAGCAGTGGATGGGTGTTTTCATTTTGATTTGGTTTAGTTTTGCTTTGTTGCTCTATATTCTTAAATATATGGTATGATGTTTTTTTTACCAGGTCTGAGTATACTCCTCATCAAACACTGCTAAGAGTGGACCATCAATATGCTACAAGTCGGGGGGAGGCACTTTTTAAAGCTGGGAATGCTGAGGTTTACTTATTTTAATTGAAAACAGAGTTATGCTCTGTGAGACACCAACAGAAGGTATTAAGACAAGACTGCAACTAGCAGCACCTCCATACAATATTTTTACTGTGTGGTTTGCTACTTGGTACCAGCAGAGGAGGCTTGTTAGAAAGTTTTGAGTATCCCAGTATTCATGAGAAACTTTGTGTAGAGCTAAGGCTTTTCATATGGGCTCCCACTGCCACTTCACTTCTTGTGTCATGTCTTTACTGGCATGTCCCCATTGGTCTGAAAAGCATTTAGAATTATTGTCTCCCACCAGTACTTCTCTTGCATGAAGTAGGAACAAAAGGAAAAGAACACAGAAGTAAATGCTAACTGGCACAACGGGGAAGACTGAGTCCCACCCAGATTTGCATAGCCCTGATTTGTACCCATGGTGTTCTCTGACGCTAACTTTGTGGAGAGAAGCCTCTCTCAGCCTGTCTCTGCTTCCCCAGCAAGTTAAGTTCTGTCACAAGACAAGAACCTATAGGCTACCCAAGTGTGAAAAAAATAAAGAAAATGCCAAATGTTCTATTTGATTTCTCCATCTGTTGGAAAATGCCGTACTGGAATCATTTTCTTCTTGCAGGAAGAATATTTGTCCTTTTGATTTCCAAAGTCTTAATATGTAGAGTTCTTCTGTGGCAGATGAGTCACTAGGACAGAGACAGACTTCCATAAGTTTTAACAGTGAATAGCTAACACTTAGTCTTCGCATTTATCAGATTCCAGTATGTCTCTGTAAAGATCTGGAATGAGCAGTTTGGTCTTGGTTCTTCTTTGCCACCTGAATTTACGACTTTTTTGATATTTAGGGAATGAATAGATTTGATTTCTGAGTTAGAAAAGGAGCCCTCTGAATCATTCTTCCCCACAGATCATGAATGCAGACTTTTCTAAGGCTGGCACAGAATTTTCATCACCAAAATATTGGTGATGAAATAGTGATCACGGATGTAGAAATAAACTAAGAAATAATGCTGGTGATTAATATCTGTGATTATTAATGAGTGAGTTCTACAGCCTTGAAAATACCTGTTGACCTGAGAACTCAGGCCTCCCTTGCATAAGCAGATCCTATTGAAACTTCTTGCTGTGGGGTGTATGTCCAGACTGGAGGAAATGAAGAAACTAATAATAAGACTGTTCATGGTGCAGCTGAATGCAATACAACCATTGTATATGCTTCTGGTTTACTTTTATCCACTTGCTGTTACCATTTTGGTGTTGTTTCATCATCCAGTGTGCATCTGGTGTCAAAAGCTATCTTAAAGGGATGTGCATTGAAGTTATTGGAAGCAGTAATAACACAAAAACCATTTGAAAACCTTTTTCGTGTCTTTTTTTTCTCATTCCATTCCAAAATTTGAACCGAAGAAAACCATTACTGATATCATTTCTAATGTTTATATTTCTCTACATTAGTTTGGTTCAGTCTCTGCTTGTTGCAGACCAAGCTCGTGTTCCAAAAGACTACATGACACGAAAGTCTCTGTGTATCCCTGGAAGTCCCAGAAGAACAGCTTATAAAGCCTGAGAAAGATGATGAGGACTCAGTAGGCACAGGGGTATAGGTAGAGTTTGTGCCATCTGAATATGAGTCTGAATACTTTTTTCAATGTTACAGAATGAATATTTGTATGGGATCCCTTATATACCACTTGTGTCGATCAGGTTTTGTGTGTGTGTGTGTTAGAATTCAGGAATAAGCTGGAAACCTACCGTGCAGAGCACATCATGCACAGAAGGATTTGTGGCACAACAGTTTAGCGTGGATGATGTTTTCTGAAGCTTCACAGTGTGATCCAGGGCTTTTAGACTTCATTCAGAGTACTAAAAAAGAGGGTCATAGAAGGTATAAACAGATAGAAGGTAAATTATGATTGTGCAAAAAGAGTAAATCTCCATAACTGAAAATTCAGGCAGCAGCATTATGGCCCCATCCAGTAAGCCTTTACCTCTGTGTGGAGTCCTGTTGGCAAGTTAGGCTTGTTCACTCAATTAAGGGTTTGCAGAATCAAGTCCATGGATTTTTTCCTTTCCCAGATCCCCATGCAAATACATCCTGGTCCTCTTCCACCTCCCAGTCCAGTCTTGTCGCCCTGGATCATGTTCCTGGTAAGTATAGAAGGAAAAAGTTAATTATGCCCATGCTGCTTGGCTCTGGAAATCTTTGCATTTCATTTCTCCTGCACTGGGCTTACCCATAGTGGCAATTCTGGACCAAGTGTTTCCTTTTGTTTGTTTGGTTTAGCAAAAAATATTGTGTAGGTAGCCTGTAACATGTGGAATGTAGAGTTTGAACCTGAATAGAGGGTAGTTTCATCTGCATGATACTCCTTGAAAAACTTGGCTTGGCAAATGTCCCACCATTGACGCTTTCTGCTGCTAAGTCCTGTTTGATGTTCAAAGTTCTATTTCCCTTTGAAATGTCTGAGGCTTTGAATTCTTGTAAAGTCAAATTTTCAAGTGCTGTAAGGCAGTTCCTTTGGCCCAGGCTGATACTGGTTCTTATGTGAAATAAATATGCATGAGAACATTTCCTTGATGTGAATATTTCTTCTCAGTCTAAGATCTGCTTTTCATCAGATCACACAGGAATAGTTGAAAGTATGCTGTAGAAGGGCTCGTATTTTAATTGCTAAGGTTTCCAAGTGGCTGTGACAGGTTGTCTACTCAACTCCAATTTCAGGTTTAAGATTTTGTGTTGTGTTTGAAGTACTTGAGTGAATGAAGGAGATCTGGATTTAATTCCTGACTGAATATTGCCCCTGTATCTCTGGGTAACTCAGTCCTCCCTGTGGAATGGAAACTGTATTTCCTTTCTCATTTGCTGAAATGTTTTGGCTTCTCAGGATATGTACTGTCTCACCTGTGTATTTGTAAATGGCCTCACACAGTAAATCCCCTCTCACACACCCTCTCTCACCTGTGAGCCTAAGGGTGCAACAGTATAATAAATGATGCTTTACAGCAAGTATGGACGGATTTAATGTATTAATATTTCATATAAGTGTGGTGCTTTCTCCTCAGGCATCTCAAGCAGCATGAATTTTGATGAGGAAGAAGATGAAGAAGATGAAGACAGCTCCAGTTCTTCGCAGTTAAACAGTAATACCCGCCCTGGATCTGCCACGAGCAAGAAATCCAATAAGGTAAGGAGTGAGTGCCAAAGAAAGATCATGCAGGCTACTATGTACTGCATGATTTCAGAGTGCAGTCACAATAGGCCCGGCTTTCTCGCTTCATTTTTAATATGCACTAGAGTATCTCCAATGTGATTTACTGTTATAGCTCTCAGGGTTCACAGGAGCAAGCAATGAAAATAATGACTTCGAGAACAGAATAGCAAATATTGTCTGAACTTGAATGAAGAGAAAGGTAAATAGTAAATATTTACCTTTCTACCTCTTGCAGGTGCTCAGAAGGACCTTTTGTTTCTATTGCTTATTTCTGAACGTTTTCTCACCCTGTTCTTGCTGCTACTATTTGAACAAAATAAGCCTTTGGCTTGTTCAGATACTCTAAATCACAAGCTCTTGCTAAACCAGTTGATGGTGCCCCACTCTTATGTACTGCACTGACTTCACACCTCTGTTATATCTCTATCTAGTTAATCTGTCTTTCCCTATTTCTTCCTTTCAGCAATGGCCATCACTGTCCTTAGGTATGGCCCTTCTGAAGAAAGCAGTGTGGTGAGATTGGGAGGTGGGAGCCAGGTTGTGCTTTGTTACCATTACAGCACTCTGCCAGTGCAGCCACCCTATTCAGGTTGGCCAGATGTATCTGTATGCTGAGCACCAGTGGTGCAGGGAACTGCTCCCTGGGCCTTTGGTGACTGGAGCTTGACTGATTGGAGGAAACTGATCCTAAGCTTGGTAAACTGCCTTCAAGGCTGCTCAGGAGTCAGAATGAGGAAGACAGTATGTCCATTGTTCTTACTGTTTTAATGTGCAGCTTCTATCAAATGTCATTCTTTGGACCTATAACCTTGTAAATGAAAGTTGAGGAAACCTGAGTTTTTCTTACTGTTCTAGGAAGCCGCCTCAGCCCCCAGTCCTTCCACGAATGAGCCTCTCATAGACGTCGATGACCTGGAGGAATTTGCCATAAGACCTGCTCCACAGGGTGTCACTGTCAAATGCAGAATCACAAGAGATAAGAAGGGAATGGACCGAGGGATGTACCCTACCTATTACCTCCACTTGGAAAGGGAGCATGGTAAAAAGGTCATAAAATAACTTGAATGGCATACCAGTTGCACCTTAATATATATATTTAAAAAAAAATTTAAAGTCTGAAGAAGTTTTACTAAGAAAATATAATCTTGTATTTTAAATATATTTTTGCTTGAACTGAGATCTGCCCTACAGTCTTCCAAAAGCAAAACAATACTATCACTTTGTACTACTGCCTTTATTCATATGTCAAATCTTTGGCCTTAAATAATCCCTGCATGTCACCTTTATGGGATAGTCAGCAGTTGGGGCTGTTTGCATTCTGTGGCCTGAAAAACATCTATTTTCAATTCAATTGAAAGAGCCAGAGCAACTTAGAATGAAACATTTAACAAAATAGATACAATTTAATTATTTAAACTGTAAATAATGAACTGAATGGTTCAGAAGTCACTCTCCAGATTTTCTGTTGCTTCTCTAATGATGCTGGAAGACAAAAAATTTTCTATGATGTCCTTATGTCAAAGCAGGAAGTGCTGTGTGCTAACTCCTTTGGCATTATAGAATACGTTATTTTGCACTGCTTAGGTGTTTCTGTTAGCTGGGAGGAAACGAAAGAAGAGTAAAACCTCCAATTACCTCATCTCTATAGACCCAACTGACCTGTCTCGGGGTGGAGAGAGTTTTATTGGAAAACTGAGGTAAATACTAATACGTCTGTGAATTGTCTTTATATGATGTAGTTCATTTGAAATTAGGAAGCCTGTAAGCCACTATGACCTCTTAGTTAAGAGGCTTGACTATATCATGTGATAACAATCTTTAAGTTCGCCAGTATTCAAGGCATGTTTTCAAAACATTTCAAGTACTTATAAGACCACATTTTATTAAAAGTCGACAGGATTGAAGCTCTTAAATGCTCAAAGGCCAGATTCTCAGGGGGGTATGAGTACAACTTATCTTAATGAGATTTTCAGGAGTGTGTGAGTAGATTGTGTTTAGTCCCTAATTATATAAATGCCTTGGAATGGAAGTTCTCTCTGTTACACAATCTGAAAATCTCTTCAGTTTTGCCTGTTTAAGATCCTAATTAGAGTTATTTATTGGTCTGGTGGGAGGTGTCCCTGCCTGTGGCAGAGGGTTTGGAATTAGATGATCTTTAAAGGTCCCTTACAGCCATAACCATTCCATGATTCTGTGAAGTAGTGGAATTCTTTCAGAACCATGTTTCTTTTCTGTCTTGTCTCCCCATCATATATCAGTCTGTTGTTGACACCTACGTGGAGCCTCTCAGTGTATGTTTAGATTGTCTATGCCTGGGGAGAGGGGCTGTGCTATTAATGGCCACTTGCCTGCATGGATCTTGGAACTTCATCTGCTACTTTGCAGTACAGAATGAGGACAGTGTTGTTTTAGTATGTTCTATTTTGCGCTTCTTGGTGTGATTTCCATTTAAATAGGAAAAGTTCATCTTAAAACTTTATGAAAATACTCTCTGTATTCTAATAGAGTTAGTAGTCAGGTAACAAAGCAGACAGTTTTGTAGAGAGTAAGCATATTTTTAAACCCAAGCAAACAAAGTAACTCCTCCAGAGTGTTTTCTTACCGCTTCCAGCGCAGAGCCACAAAGATGATTAAGGGAGTGGAACACCTCCCTTATGAGGAGAGGCTGAAGGAGCTGGGTCTCTTCAGCTTGGAGAAGAGGAGACTGAGGGGTGACCTCATCAGTGTTTACAAATATGTAACATGTGGGTGTCAGGATGATGGAGCTAGGCTTTTTTCAATGATATCCAGTGATAGGACAAGGGGCAGTGGGTGTAAACTGGAGCATAGAAGGTTCCACGTTAACATCAGGAAGAACTTCTTTACTGTGAGAGTGACAGAGCACTGGAACAGGTTGTCCAAGGGGGGGTTGTGGAGTCTCCCACACTGGAGATATTCAAGGCCCTCCTGGACAAGTTCCTGTGTGATGTACTCTAGGTTACCTGCTCTTGCAGGGGGCTTGGACTAGATGATCTCTTGAGGTCCCTTCCAACTCTTGGGATTCTGTTCTGTTCTGTTCTGTTTTGTTCTTGAATTTACTGCTTTGCAAGGTGTTATGAGAGGTCTCTGGTGTAATGATAAAGGACCTTTAGTATACTCTGCCCTACTGTACCTTTACATTTTTGTTACAGCCCTTAATCCAGGAGTTGATACATAGTTGGGATAGAATTAACAGCTATTTGTACTTAGTATTATCTGTCTTTCCTTTGGGGCTGCAGTGCAGGGAAGGATAGATGTCTCAGGCAGCATTGCTGACAAACGGTGATTGGATTTTCCATTTTTTTGATAGATCAAATCTTATGGGAACTAAGTTTACAGTTTATGACAATGGAGTAAATCCAATGAAAACAACATCAAGCCTGGAGGCGAGTATCCTGCGTCAGGAGCTAGCTGCTATTTGTTACGTAAGTACTGCTCACAGGCAAAATATGCAAGAAGGGCAGATCAGTTTCTGAAATAGCACACTGAATTTACTTCTCACTTATGATTATGTAAATCACCATTCATACTTAGATGTAATCAAACAGCTGCTCTTCACTAGAGAAACCAGGAAATTCAGTGGAAAGTAAAGATGAATAAAGTTGTGCACAGAACCAGGCTGCCCGGTTCTCACTTTTGGTCAGAAGGTGAGAAGCTTTTACATAACCCTCTGGAAGACGTAGGGTGCTTGACAGCCTGCAGGCATCATCTGAGAGAGCCTCCTGAACTGGAAAGAGTTGTGCACATGGAATTACTGCGCTGAAGTCTGACCACTTGCAGTAACATTTTGGAGGAGGACTCTGATCCAAATCACAAGTAGCTGAACAGCTAGGTCTGCCGCGTTGGCTTGGAGACCGAGATAAAAACCTCTGTAACTCCTTTTTACCAGAAAAAAAACCAAAACAAACCCTAAACAAAATCAAAAATTCAATTTAATAACAGAAACCAGCCTCTTACAGGACAGTAAATAGCGTTTGTCAGGAGCAACACAGACAATCGAGACTTGAAATACAGTTGCTGTTGTTTTCATGATGATTGGATGACTGTTTTGGTGGGAGTATTCTTTCTGTCCAGAAATCTCTGGGCCCAAGAAACTCTTCCAATCAAAATGGGTAGGTACACTGCTAGAGAAAGTTCCCTTTTCACAAATCAACAGCTTCTGACAAAAATACCCAAGAACCACTTCTGTGGAAAGCTCCTGCCCAACTCTAATCGAGGATGCCTGGAAGTCCATCAGATCGAGATCCAGCATATATGACGAGAATGGGTTCCTAGAAAGGGCAGCTTCAGGTTGTGGGGAGCAGTGCCTCTGGCAGATTTCAGCACATGAAAAGCAAAGCAGAGAACTATCCTTCCCATGCAAAGTGCTGAGAGCACTGGAGGGTGGCTGACGTGTTATTTGCCTGCTGCTTAGGATGCAGTTTTTCTGTGAATAGAGCATAAATAGTGCCTTTGGTCACATGTGCTGTTATTCAGGCACATGGCCTGCAGTTGCAGACAAGAGAGACAGATACATATCCCTCCATTGCCGTTGAATTTGAAACTTTCTGAAAATTTCAGAAAGTCCAGCTAACAGGATTTAACAAGACTGTCCAGAATCTGATGTTAGAGTCGGAACTTAGGAGACCTTACACGTTTAGGTAAGGTTTATATAGGAGGGCATTCCCTGGAGCCAGGCAATTAATCTTCTGGTAGAATCTGGAAATGCAAGGAGGAAAATACCCAAACCCAACAATTAAAAACAAATGTATATATTGAACAATTTAGACATTGCTTGTTTAAGTCAAAACCAACAGCATTTGAACCATTAATGTTACCAAGTAAAAACCTCAGTTGGGGCCAGCAGAGGTGATTAGAAGTGTGAGTGTTGGAAAGAACAGAACCATGCCCACTGTTTGGAGAATGTGGCAAAGATAAGCTGCTTTCATATGTCTATTTTGAGATCAGCAGTTTTAAACTTGTACGTTTATGTAAGAGAATGATTTGTTGCATTGATATTTTGATACTCATGAAGAAAGGCATCAGGCTTTCGAGTGTGCTGTGGCCAGAGGACAGAAGGAAACTGGAATGATATTTCATTACTAGCCAGGCTTGCGAAAGTGAGGTTATTCATGAGCACTCCTGAAACATCCTTGTTCTAAGGTAACCTTTTTATTCCTGCCCTGAGATTTTTTCCTGCAGCAAACCCTATAACAAACAGTACTTTGAAAGCACCACTATGCGTCTCACTGTCTCTCAGCACAGCCAGAGAGGAAGCTGTACCCACTTCCACCAACTTTCTGAGCCTGACCTGCTGAATTGTCTCAGGAGGTCTGTTTTGTACCGGCAGAAGTTGCTGGTGCATCTGCTGTTAACTATGGGATAAATGTATGATAACTCTCACTGTGGAGCTCACCTCAGGGCATGATTCAAGCAACAGGAGTAAAATCAGTGCAAGGACCGAGTTTTACCAGGTGCTGTAAGCCATTTTTACTCTCCCTGGGGGTGGCAATCTAGCTTATTAATAAACCTGCAGCAGCACCTAATGGCTGATTTCAGAATCGCTTGGCAAAATTTATCAAGAAGCAGTAAGGTATGACTACCCTTTATACCAGTTTTCTGTGCTGGATTCCTTTATATCCATAGTATCTTACAACTCAGTTTGCTTCAGACAGGGAGCTCTGCTAATATTCTGGGGTGTGACTCAACTTTCAGCAAAGCAATAAAACTACTTTCTACTCAGGCCTCAGTCACCTGCATTCTGCTCCAGTATAGTGGGTTCTATGTTTCGGGCTTCCTATGAAATGATAGTTTCTACACAAGTCCAGAAAGGGAAGTGGCTGAAAGAAAATTGCAGTAACTAAGTTGTGAATCTCTTGAGAGCTGCTGGGATATGCAACTTGCTGCTTTTATCATGGCAGATATTTCCACTTTAGTGAAATGCTTACATAATTTTATGGAAGTAAGATTTTAAAAGCAACCTTAAGGGTAGACTTCGGGTTCTTTTAATCCAGTGTATTGTGACACATGCTAAGCTTACCACCTGGGCAATGGTAGAGAGTGCAGCCCTGAAGCAATACTGGGCCAAGTCCTCAGCTGATTTAAATCAATGGCATGCTGGCTCCGTCAGTAGCACTCTGCCAGCTAGCAACCCTTATTTTGAATTCCTGTGTAAACCAAGTCTGTCATTGTCATTAAAACTGTGTAAAATCAGAATCTGGCCTATGTTCCCCTAATGATGCTATTTGTAGTCTTGGACTTGCACACAAAATAGCAGAGAGGGAAATAAGAGAGCAGGGAATGAGACAAGAGATACAGGGAATTAATTTTACTTGGGTGCAGGTAGTTTGGAAAGGTCTACTTTTAATTAAAGCTGCTCCTGTCCCTACTGCTTTACTCATACATTCTGTGTTTCTAAAATCTCAGTTCTGTACCTTGGTTTTAGCAAAAGGGTTGCATTTGCCAGTAAAATGTTTGATGAAATTGGTGAATGACGTAATGTGCATCTAGAAACCATCCCCTTATCATCTGGAAGAAGTACTGGTTTTAATGTTTCTGAGTAACTCCGAAGAATATAGTCCTGTTTTCTTTTCAGAGTGATAATACTGCTTGCTGGGAGGGAAGTGATTCAGTGCTATTATTTAATTTTACCTTGAACAAAGTCTAAAACCAGTTAGCGTCTAAATTAGTTGTATGTAGCATAACTGCAGCTTGGTTAGAAGAAAAGCTTGTAAGACATTACAGAGAAGACTAAAACTGTCTGTAGTTAGTGGAAAATAAGCTTAAGCATGAATCTTTTCTTAGAAATTGGCCTCTGCTGTTCTGACTTTCTCCTGCTTATAAAATGTGCTGGCAGTCGTTTTGGTTTGAGTCTCACCATGATGCAGAACCAAATATAAATTTCCAAATGAACTGATAGCTTTGGTTTACTCTGGCAAAGGCCATGACATAAATGATTCAGAAAAGAGGTAGGAACTTCCCATTAATGTACAGACTTACGGAGATATATGGATATACCTGGATTGCTTCAATAGCATTCGGTAAAATAACTCAGTGGAATTGTTTTTTGCGTGCATGAAAATCTTTAATGGGTTGTGTGAAATCTCCAGATGGTTTGCTGAAACCACCAAAGTTATTTCAAAGGTCTGATGGATGACAGAACTTCTGTGCAAGTAAATCTTAGGCGGGTATTTTCAGATGATTACAAGGAGCCGAGATGCATGGCTTTTTATTTGCGCATGTAGAGGTATCCTACAAAGTTGAGTGTTCCTTAAAATCAGGACACCTTAATTAAGTATAAAATCAGGACACCTTAATTAAATATATAAAAGCAGGGATAACTGAAAATGTCACTTCTAAATGTCCCAGTGGTAGAGCCACACCAGCTGGAGCACAGGGGTGGCATTTTGTAGCATGTTGCTGGGAATAGCGCCAGTGGGAATTTCCTTCTTGAGATTCCTTAGTGTGTGTGTGTGTCCACAGCCCTTCACTTGGAAAGTGCAGGAGGGGAAAAATGCATGTGACTGAAAAAAAAATAAAAGGTAAGTAGCACAAAACATGAGGAGATGAACTTTCAGAGGTGTCAGGGTTTCACTTACCTGATTCATGCCAGAACAGGCAACTGGGTTTTACTGACTGGATTGGAAATACCACCCTTTATTTTTAATTTTTCAAAAATAGATGGGTGATGACTTGCTGAAATATATGGCTCTAGTTGCTTCTGTGGAGAAGAAAAAGTCAAAAGCATAAAACTTTAGGTCTGTTTAGATTTTAGTGGTTGTGTTTTGAGAGGATACTGTGTAGCGCTCCTGTAAAATGCTGGTCAGAAAGGAACTGAATCATGTTTATTGGAAGAAGCTGCATTTTCTGTGGATTTATTTTTTCTGCCCATGTTTCTTTACTTTCCCTGCCTTCACAGCTAAAAAATTTGCATTCATGCTAATGTGTTTGTTTTATACCATGCTTGTCTCTAAGTATAACATATCTGAAGACTTTGAGAACCACAGCACTGCTAACAGATGCTCTTACTGGCAGCTTCTTCTTGTTTGCTTTTGTGCTGGCTCTGGAATAAATGGAGTTGGTCCCGTATATTTAATTTGGTCTCTCAGCAAAATGTGTGACTGCATTTTATGATTTTTAAATTATAACCACTTTATTTTAGGATCTAGCAGTAGCCAAGCAATCTGGTTAGTTCATATCCTTTTTAACAAAGGACTAGTGTTTTTTTAATTGTATTAAGGTTGCTGGCAGCCAATGCTAGGAATGTTTTTTGGAAACTTCTCTATTTCCATTTTTCCTGTTGTCAGAGCTTCTAAAACAAAGTCAGAAAGTTTGGCAGTGCCAGCGAAGGTTGGAGTTTCAAGATGTTTTTTGAGTTGACTAACAAATAAGTCCCCTGGGCTGCCACTGTGTCTCTCTACTGAAGAAATTAACTTCAAAAATGCAAAACATGCTGAACTGTTTTTAAAACATTTTTAGGAAACAAATGTCTTGGGGTTTAAAGGACCACGCAAAATGAGTGTAATCATACCAGGAATGAATATGGACCATGAAAGAGTTTCCATCAGACCACGAAATGTAAGTCATACCATCAGCCAATGATAAAAATTACTTTTCAGTTTGAGTTGGGGTTTTTTTTTGCACTGCTGAAGATTTAGAGGTTAAAAACATTTGAATAATTGAAGAACAATGTGATGGGTGACTAGTCCTGTGACTCACAAAAGTACTACAAATAATAATGTACTTAGATAACAAAAGGCAGAATTAATACTTTTGAAGCTGTGGAAAGGATTCTAATGCACATTCCCATTAAGATACTCAAGAGTTCTCAGTTTAGTTCAGCGATGCTGTTTTGGCGGTTGAGGGTGACAATTTAGTCTTCGTGCTAGGGTTTATGAATGGTTTTGTGTGTATTAATTTACTTTTTGTCTTATGAGAGTGTTAAACTGAAGTGTGTATCTGTGGTGTGTACAGGAACATGAGACGCTTCTTGCAAGATGGCAGAACAAAAATACAGAGAGTGTCATTGAGCTGCATAACAAAACACCAGTGTGGAATGATGACACGCAGTCCTATGTTTTAAATTTCCATGGTCGAGTCACACAGGCCTCAGTGAAAAACTTCCAAATTATTCATGATAATGATCGTAAGTATAGCTCTAACATATAGAAACACTACTGCTTTCACAGTCGGACAGTCATTCTGCCCTTACTGTCGTTACTTGAGTGAGTTTAACTTATGTGGGCTGCTCTGCCTTGTGGCCATGACATTGATGCAAGTTAGGTGTTTAAATGCTTATGCTCGAGGCAGGTGATTCTGCTATGTGCTGTCTTAGTTTTCTTCTTTGGCTGCCTGGCTTAACCTCCCTTAAGGGTTGCTCCTGCTCTCAGAACTGTGGTATTTTCAGTCAGCAGTGCCAGTATCACTCCTCTCAAGCACAAGTGTCACACAATCCTTCCACCCTGAAAGTGTCAGGACTGCTTTTCACTCCATCCCTAGGACCTTACCAATGTGCTGCTTTCTGCCAGCAGCGTGCAGCGCCCTTTTTTCTCAAGCTTAGGCACAGTTGTTGGAGCAAGGATGAAGACAATTGCTCGAGTGGAGTGATGCTGCCCCACTTTACTCTCACTGTGGGCAGGCAATAGTCAGTAGGTGCTGGAGCACACTGGGCTGCACTAGTTCTGTGCTTAGACTGTAGGGAATATTGCAATCTGTTGAAAGTGGCTGTCCTGGTCTCTGAGAGCAATGCTGAATTTGAAATGTTGGTGTATTGGTGCATATCCTGCATTTTATAAGGTGAAACAAATATACCTGCTTCCGCAATTAAACATTTAAAATTGTGAATGAGGCTGATATTTCCTTTTGCATGATAAAGAGTACAGAAGGGGAAAAAAGTTGAGAAAAATTTCATGAAAATGATATAACAAGGAGGCATGATTAGGTCTTGATCACAGTCATGCATTTTCTTCTCCCATTATCCTTGCTTGTACACTTGTCTGAAGTTAAGTGGGAATAGAATTAGTTGGTTCTTGGTACATGTGAAACTTGCACTAAATCTGTATAAGAGCATTCTATACAGTAGCAATTTTCTCTCTGTGCTTGCAAAACCCACTCTTTATCTGTGCAATTTTTTTGTCAGTATCAAGTCTTGCAATCTTTTGTCGCTCAGCTGTTCCTCACCCAAGCTACCCTTGCTTCCCTTCGATACCAGCACACCCGCTTGCATGAATGAGTGTTGTGAATTTTGATGTGAGCATGTTTTGTTTGTATTTTGTTGAAGTGGGCCAGAGGATGATGTTGAATGCATACTTACTTAGTAAGGGCTGCAAACAAAAATAATGCTTCGTCACCTTTTATGTTGTTTCTTGCAGCTGAATATATAGTGATGCAGTTTGGCCGCGTGGCTGAGGATGTGTTCACCATGGACTACAACTACCCAATGTGCGCGCTACAAGCCTTTGCCATTGCCCTGTCAAGTTTTGACAGCAAGCTGGCTTGTGAGTAAAGGGGCATGGGTGAGCATCCTCTCAAAGGAAGCAGTTTGCTATATGATTCCCAGTTCCTGCTGATGTCATTTATAGTCCATACTAAACAGGGCAGGGAAAATGTAGTTGCGGAGGATCACTCTATTGCTGAAGAGAAAGTAAAAGGAATCTTCTAAAAATTCAGGACATTCAGGAAATATGTTTTCCTTTTTTTTTTTTTTTTCTGTCATATTTTTTCTGGAAGTGACATCAAGTTTGTGTAAATAGAAGTTCTCTCTCATGTCCTTGAAAATGCTATGGAGATGTGCCATGATGTACTGTACCGTGGCTCTAGTGGCACCATTATAATGGTGTCTTTTTTAAATCCAGAAAGGGCGTGCACACTCAAAAAGTTCCTTTTTACATTTAAGAATTATTCTGAGGCTGCAATCGTACCTCAAGGTTGCATTCCTACATCGACTAATCAGAGCTTCACATCAGCCAACGTAAAAGAAAGATCACAGAAAAGATGCACTTTTTTGAATGTGCAAGGATCTCATGTAGTATAAAGCAAAGTGTGAAGGTTGAAAAGCTATACTGGACTGAACTTGATGCATTGCTATTGCATATGTAGTAGGGCATGATGAATTTTAATTGCAGTAGGAGGAAACGGAGAAGTAGTAAGCACAAAACAATGTTGCACAAGTCACTTGAATTCCAAGCTGTTATTATGTTTTAACATCTACATGCTTTTTTAATTTGTTTCAAATGAAAATGTATTTGGAGTACAGAAAAGGAAAACATTTAGATGCCAAGAAAGCATAAGTTATGTTGAATTTGGCATGTTGTCTGTTGGGAACTAATATCCTTGTATTGCTGTGGTAATTCAAACACATATTTTGTATGAAGTGATACAAACAGTTGGATAAAGGCTCTCTACAGAGAATCTTATTATTTTGACCAGGCTGTGTAAAGCTCAAGAAGGTAAATGGAAATATTTTATTAAATTTGTCTGGCCTTTCGCGATTTTACAAGTTGTTGATTGCATTATTTGAACTTTCAGCAACAACCACTTTTCGTATTTATTTCCCATTGTAAGAACACTTGAAATCGATTGAAACTGTGTATGTCGTTCTTTAATGTGAATGTGCCAGCTACTGAGCTAAACCCTTCTAGGCAAATGTAGTGTATGCCACATACAAATGAGACACTGGCAGGACACAAAATAGCTTAAAATAGTGTGGATTTTTTGTTTCTTTTTCTGATTTATCTGGAATATATAAACAAATACCATTTCAAAACTCAAGCAAAGAATAAGCCATTCTCTTCTCTTCTGAACATTTCAAAAGCCACGAGCTGTAACTGAAAACACACCGGAAAGCACCTTTAAAAATAACGAGTCTTTCTGCCATGTTCTGTACAATGTTATCCTAAATGGCGCACAAAATAATAGAATTTATATGTAGTTCACCCAGAAGGATATCGAAATGTGAATGAAGTAGTTGTGTTTTATACTGTGTGTATTCAGGTCCCCTTTTTTAGTCATTACAGACTCTTGCATTGCACAAAGAAAGATTATGTATGAGAAAAATGAGATCAGATCTGCTTGTTTCTTAAGGGACAGGCCATAAGGAGAGGTTGTGCCATTTGGACTGTTTAATTTCAACTAATAAAAGAAATCTGCTCTCTTCTTCACGTTTGCCTTCAGGTGTCCTTCCCAGTATACAGACAAGGAAATTTCAGATAAGAGATGGAAATAATTGCCAGCATTCTTTCTAATATTTTTTAAAAACTATTGAAAAATGTCAGCTGGCCTTGAACAGTGTTTTGTTGATCGACTCAGCCTATCAAATGTCACCTTTCAATAACAGGAGGCTCTTTTATTGTTTTATTTATTCAGATCTTGTTGCAAGAAGCCTTTCCATGCAGTGGTATAAAATGGAAAGACACCTTTTGTTTGTGAGAAATGAGCAGTCAGTTCCCTCAGTGAATGATCAGCATTCATGATCATGAGCTGCTGTGTGATACTGAAGCTTTGCACATGGATGCTTTGCTTTCCTCTGTAGTTGGTGGTTTCTCATCACTTCACATCCCCATCTCTGATCTCACTTTGGATTTTAACAGAGAGGCCCTTAGGCCTCACGTCAGTCTTTAAAAACCAGCTCCAGTGATAACCAGAATTTTTGTTTAAACTGCTGCAAAACCGGACAGGGATTCCCACTGCTGGTATTTAGGTGTGATGTGCATTTAAAGAACCTGCAGCATGAGAAGGGCTGAATCTGCATGGCTTTAATTCTGTGGCTCTCCAGTCATGTTTGCTTTAAAGCCTGAAAAAGTGGCACCTGAGAGTTTCCTGCCTCTCCCTGTGCACAACACTGTGTCAAAGGAACCAAGTGTCATATGGTGCAAATACACAATCTGCTGGCTTTAATAGTGGAGTTGGTTTAGGAAGGATTATTTTGAACGTGGATCATAACAATGGTCTGGCTTGCATCATGGCCCCACAGGGAATTGGCACAAAAAGGAAGCTCATGTGCAGTGAACTCCTGCACAAGGGTGAGAATGAGAGGCTGGGGAAAGGCAGAGTTCAGTTTCTTGGGACAGTTTTGCTGCCAGCACATTGTGTAACTTCACTCTCCCTGTTCTTCCCAGCCAGGTATTTTTTTAACCTGTAAGCGTGCCAGGAGGAAAGTAGTGACTCAAATTCCCATCATCTTAATAGAATCATACAGGGACATCAGCCAACAAGCTGCTGAGGAAAAAATTCCACGCGATGAATTGAAGTCACTAGAGGGGGATGTTAACCCGGGACTAAAAGGAATGAAGAGCTCTCATTAAATCTGGTTCAGTTACAGTAGGATTGTGCCTAGTGGCTGTTGCCAAGACCCTAATTCCTCACTGATGTTGAGCAAGGGACTGGGTTCTTTTGACTCACTTCACCATTGCCATCTGCTCCAGAAGCACTTGCTTTTTATTGAGCATGTGTATAATTTCCAGTGGACATTTTCTGATGCAGATCGATTTTGGTGGTATCACAAGTTTTCCAGCACATCTCCAAATTCTGTTTTTCTAACTTGGTAAAGTCACAACAGGTTCTGTCTTAACATACAGTCATATCTGAGATTACTCATAAAGTTTTACTCAAAATTCACTAAGTTAGTTTTTCCTCCACACCAGTAATAAAATCTCAGCACCAGTATGTATTTTCAGAGCTATATGCATACTAAAGTAACCAAGAAGCAGTTAGTGGCACACACATTAGTAAGAGCTTCTGTGGGGCCTTCGTGTCAGTGTGCATAACCTTGTTTACTTTGTGTCACAAAGAATATAATGGCACTGAGCTGTGTATTTCCATCACACAGTCCTAGTGAGTGTTTGGATACGGTGAATTTAATATTATTTAAAATCCCAGTATTGATGATTCTTTTGCACCTGCTGTTGATTTTGGCAGAGAGTTGTAAACAACTTCCTTGTCTGAATTGCTTATAGGCAAATAACTGCATGCTCTAATGAGAGTTCTTAATCTAGCTTGTCACTCTGTTTACATCAAACGGTTTCTCCCTGGCCCTTTATCTAGTTTTCTTCATCTCTGATGTTCTCATCCTTCTCATTCTCTTCACAATCCCTTTATCTTTTCCGCAAGGATGTGCAACTCAAAAGCATTTTACGTTATTACTCAGTGATCTCTCCACAGATGAATAATGCCTTTGGTGCACATCCAATGATGCCTCAACAATAGAAGCCTGATCGGAGTGGTAAATTTGGCCCTTCGGCTTTTCAGTGGAGTAAATTAACACATTAAAAGGTAGCAGATAAAAAAGCTTGCCTAAAATATAATCAGAATTTTTCTCAGTAAACATTCAGTAACCAGAGTTTCCAAATCGTTAGTTGCAAATCAATGAGCAGCACTGTCCACAAGCCTGGAGGCAGGCTGTTAGATTGCCTTTGTAGTGCTGCCTTATTTTTCCTTTTTCAGAAGGTTGAAAGTGATTCTGTGAGCTGAAGTGTGTTGATGCCCTAAAACAGAGTTTATTTTTTTAGAAACTAGAAATCTCTCCTTTTGTAGAATAATGTACGGCCATAAAACAGTAATGTTGTAGGCCATTGTTAGAAATTCTGATGCTAAGAAGTCTGTGGGGGGTTTTGTAACAATGACTGGGCAAAGCTCTCACTATTCAAGTTGCCTTACAGTAGTTCTGGAGTTCCCAGCTGGCTGTCCTCGTGAGGTAGTAGAACTGAAGGAGCCTTAGTAAAAAGGGCTCTGTAACAAAACCTGATAGCTGCACAATTGAAAATCATTGTTGTGGAGTCAAATGACACCAGAGTTTTATCGGTCACAGTGAGTCAGTGCCGTCAATTCAGACTTTCTCATTTTTTGCTCCCTTTTGATGAATAAAAGCAGGGACTTTCAGCAAGCAGAGCCATCACAGAGAGAGGTCTACAAGTATTGAGCATTGGTCTACTTTTCTACCTATAAAAATCTGACCCCTACCTGAGTGCTGCCCATTAAAAAAGAAGGAAATTCCCACTCCTTAGTATAGAAAATCACTCCCAGTTCTTATGTCTTAGATTTTTCTGTTTTGCTTTTTTTAATTTAATTTATTAGTGACTTCACATACAACAAGGAGTGGACATCACATGGCAGACAAGAGTTCTTGCCCTGAGGAGATGATGATTGTAGACTAGTATTTGTCTTTGGTTATTCTATGCCTGGTGTTTCTGTCAGAGAGAGATTCCCTTGATACGTGGCAGGCGTCAGGAAGATTTTGGGTTTGATCCTGTGGCATTCTAACTAGTTCTCCCATGCTATCCCATTGCTCTCTTAAAACATCATTTGCAAGTTTTTTTCCTCATTTTTAGAGAAGCATGTGTTCACCAACAAAGTAATTGTAACTGGCAAATAAGGATAGCAAATGCGATAAAAGCAGTCATATAAGCTGCTTAGAACCTAACTATAACCTTGATTAGAATTATAGTCTGATAACTCTCAGATTTATCAAAAGGCCTCATAGGTTGCTAGAAGAAAATAGTTTTATACATATAAATCTTGCACTAGAATTACTCTAACTGTAGATGCAGGCTTCCCTTATATGTGCTACTTGATGAAAATGGGTTTTGGTTGTTCTTCATATATGAAATGTGCCTACCGGGGTTCTGATGTGTGTTTGAAATTAAGCAGATATTTTTCAGTTTTTTCTGTTGCTTGCCAAGGAACTAAGAAAAGGATTTGCACAACTAAAACTTGATGCTTTATTATTTTGCTATAAAGTATAGCTCAGTAGCTGATACTCACAAATGCCTGTGTATTGGATGAAAATGCATTAAAACTTATATGCTGTGTTTTATTTAACTGCCCTGAAATTTTAAATTCCTCTTTTTCAGTAAGGGTATATCTATCCATACCTTCACTGAGAAGACTTGAATTCACTCTCTGTCTTGAAACTGTTTAATGGAACCAGTACACAGATTTCCTGAATTGCTTTAGGAAGAGGACACATTTCAGAAAAAATCATGCTTATGTTCTTGAGAAAAAAACCCTTCCTATTCACTTTGTAATCGGATTACTCGATAACACTGAAAGCTTATCATGGTTTTATTCACATCTACTATGGCAATTTGAAAATTACTCTGACAAAAGCTTGCTAGCACATGAACTGGAATGCAGTCCTACTTGAGAGCCAGAACCAAGCAGTACCAGTGAATACTCGTGCATCTATTCTGTGCCTAGGTATTGACTGGATGCAGAAAAAGCCCCGAAGAGTCACAAATGTGTGTTAAAATCATCTAGTCTTTTAGGCTGTCCAGCAGCTGAGAGAACACAGGCCTGCAAATCAGGTCACCTGGGTTTCAAACCCAACTGACTGTGTGACTGTGCAAATCTTGTAACCTCTTTGTGCCTCAGTTCCAATGAGTTGAGTGGAAATAATGGTTTTGGGACCTGCCTATGCCTATCCCTGTTCTGCTGAGAGGCTTCTCAGGAGGGTTTCGAGGCTGGTGGGTGGCAGGAGTGGTTTGTGTGCTCAGTAACCTGTTT